ATATATATATATATATACATACATATATATATATATACATATATTTATACACACAGACATAAATATTATATGAGCCTCCAGCTATTCTTACTGTGCCTAATAATTTGAGTATCATTTTCTTAAGTCCAATTGTGCTAGAGGGAATTTGGACCCTCAACTTGAGGGGTTTCATAGCGTTGATTTTCGCTTAAGACGACAATTATTTTGGCGCAGTTAGATTGAGATGGTGCACTACTAGAATTTGACATTACACCCTTATTGTGGATGTCATAGGAGATGCGATGCAAATATCAAATGGCTTTTTCTCAAATTCTTCGTTTCTATCAAATAAAATTTTATAAGATATTTTGATGGAAAAGATAGCCACTATATTATGGCTAAAAGTGGAATAATTGTACATGACAAAATATCACACTATTACATTGAATATGAACTCTTACTTAACATTTTTTTAGGATGGTTGACACACTTCCCTTGTAGATCACTTACTGTATTTATAAAATTTATCTTTGATTTAGAGGTCATAGGGCTTAAGTATGACAAAGAAAAGGTGTTTCCTAATATTTTTGTTGCATTCATCAAATGCAATATTTTTAGATACCATCTTCTATGGTCAGGAAGACACTTAATCTAGATACAATTAATAATGCTTACTCTCTAAATAGAAGATGAAATAATTGGTGGATGAATTTGTTGCTCATGAAGAAAGCCTTGTTAATTGAAGGACTCAAGAAAGGAGTTTTGGTGATAATCATAAGGATAGATTAAAAGTTAAGGAAACAATAATATATATAACATTATAATAAAAAACGCTAAAATTGGTGATTTTTTACACGTCAGAAAATATGTTGTAATTACCGACGATTTTGTGACTGCTTTTGATTTTGATTATTTGTGGCAGCATAATTGTAACATATATCATTGCTTATCAAGAATATTTTATTTTCTAACTGTTTTTAATTATAGCTGACGGAATAACCATCAGTTATAAGCAAATATTAACCAACGGCTATAATACATTGGTTGTCTTTGAACCTGACATCTGGCGGGGCTTTAACCAATTTATTATTGAGCGATGAGAATGACAGTCGGTAAAAGTTCTAATAATTGACGTAGTAAAATTTGTTGATAGGCCATAGAAACTAATCCTATATCCCGCCCGAAATCACCTTCCTTAAGGTTTTTCCCTAATCTCTCCTCTCAGCCCTCGTCTTCTCTACCCGAAGCCCCTGTTTCGTCCAAAACCATCACCTTTTTCCCTAAAACCCTCACGATACAATCGAAATAGGAGTTAGCTGGGAACGCAGTGGCGGGATCGTGGCTTACAATGATCGAAAACGCTCCTTTTTCTCCTAGTTCCACTCCTCTGCTACCCGATGAGACCGAGGAATGTAATTTGTTATCTTCATTTTTTGTTTTTATTTTCTTTTACTATAAAGAATGTGTTTACTGTTTAGAATTTAGCAACTAGGAATTTTTTCAAATATTTTCCTATTTCAGTTGCATTGCATTTAGGACTGTGAATTTAGCTCGAACATCATTAATAGCTCAATGATTGATTCAAATTTTAGCTCGGATCGAGAACAAATCGAAATAAACGAGTCAAGCTGTGAGCTAAAATTTTGGATCAAACTTTCTTAGCCAATTTTGATACGACCTCTGCTTGGCTCGAAATCGGATGGTAAGAACACATGACGGTGAATATAGTGATTTAGCCTGAATATCATTAATCGCTCAAAAAATTGATTTGAATTTTGGCTCGGATCGAGATCAGATCAAAATAAATGAACTGAGCTACGAGCCAAAAAATTTGGATTGAGATTGGATCGAAATAATTTGTTGCAATTCTCATTTTGGCAATGCAAATTAGATTTTGAAATGAATTTTTATTTTGAAAGTGACAACTTAGATTTCAATGTGAATTTTCATTATAGTTGTGAAAATTAGACTTCACACTTGAGGATGCAGTGAAAGCTTTTACATCTTATAAAATATCTCATGCTAAGAACATATATCCAGGTATACAGTCAATCATGTATGGGGTTTGCAACGACAAGTAAACGAAAAAAATAAACTCATACAAAGGTTTAGTATAGATATGGTGATTGATAATATTAGATCTACTACAAGTCGGATCGTTTAAGTATTATTAGTTCCATCGAAGATCACTATTTGTTGAACATTAATTCTCAATTTGTTAGGACGACTCCCACTAATATTGTATGCTCATGTAGGTACATTATACTTCGCATATACATATATCTATCATATTTTGTCTCCAAGTAAAGAGTCAATCATAAACCCCCGCAACTTTTAACTAGACTCCTTAATACATCATGTGAAAGTGATCTAGTAAGATTTGTTGAGATGAGAAAAATTTGGTGAATAAGTGGTTTTACACTTGTATAAAAAATGTGAAAAAATTATACTTGTGAAAGGTTTGTTGTAGCTACAGTGACATATAAGATTAGAAGAAAATGTGGATAAATATTCGCCAATAATCAGTCTTCGACAACCCTATCAACTTCAGTAGGTTGTTAACGTTCCGAGTTTAAAGCTATCTAAAATGTTCACTCCTTTTAAAGTACATTAATTATGATTAGGTTTCACCACTTTTTGTTACCAATCAGCTAGTTGAGCTACTAAAGTAATCAAGTACCATGTATTTAGTTGATTGCATTTTATAATGTATTTATTATTCTCATATTTGAAGCTGTGCATGGGTATTTAAACGTCGAGATTGTGGATAAAAAAACAGACTTTATCCAGACAGAAAAGGGATCACCCAGAAGTTTTTGAACTGTGTCGAGGAATTTGTGATAGTTGCTTCTCAATTGTCGGTTTACCAAATTGAGGTAGGTTTCGGTGTCCATGTTCAAACACAGAAATCGAACACACCTAATGCCTGATGAAGCGAAATATGTTATATAAAATCGACCAGATTACTAGAATTGGACTTCACATGGGGAGGTTCATCGCACAACATTCAGCTCCACTCCTTTGACGAGTGTTGACATCAATTTTTGTTGTTGTGAGTGTAGGATGTCTGCTTGATCATTATGGAACATTGTTTGATGCAAGTGTTGATTCTCACAGTGCAAGACGTTCATTTGAGACCCTCCGATGCGTGTTGAGTAGCACACTGCTAGGATTGTTCTGCTAAACTTTAGTGTCGCTTAGGAGAACGTCGGTCGGCATTTTATTTGTTCGACTAGGCCAATAGATCTTGATCTCCACATCACACACGAAATTGGCTTAAATCGACTCTTCTATCGATGAATTTATCCATATGACCTTGGATGACCAAACAGACTATGCGAGCGCATCCAAAACTTCAATTTTATCTAGTAAAGAACACCCATTTTGTTATGAATTTGTGCATGAGCCAGCAACACGCAATTCAAGAATTTTAGATAAAAAAATATAATAATAATAATAATAATAATAATAATAATAAAGTGGCTTTAAAAACTCATGCGCAACTCTTTCTCCCCAACCCATCGAGTGCCCTAGCCTCCTATCTCGCGAAATCGAGTTGTCTTCCCGAATTCGCGTGGGCTCCCTTGCCGCAAGCCTCGGCTAGTCGTCGACCTCACCCCACCTCCTATTTTTTTCTCGGTTCTAGACCTCGGAGATGTCAAATTATCTATTTATGTGGCATCATATGATTCTCTTGTTCAAATAAATATCTCACTTGCATTATATTTAATGATTCAAAGAGGAGACGAATCGAAACAAGTAAATATGAAAGCAATTATCTAGAGCAGTCTTTTGGTATTGTAGGAATCCTAAAATTCATTATCTTGAATATTTTTTTGAGATTTTGTTGAAATTTTAAAATTTTC